CACTGGGACCCACACTGGTTCACAGGGAAGGCTCACGTAGCCTTGATCCCACAAACCTGGGAGCACAGGCTGGCCCTAAAGCAGCAGCACCCTGTCAGCCATCAGGGCAGCCAGCTGCCACCTGCTCTTTGGATTTGCCCATGCCCATGCCCGCAAGGCCATTGGGGTCACATACTAAGCTCTCCTAGGGGTCTTCAGGAAGTCCTACTCTCCAGATTTGAGTCAAAGGCCAAAGCGCCCATCTCCTCTCCCCCTTAGGGCTCAGTGGATCCTGTTGGCTCTCTCTAAAATTCCCCTTAAACTTCCTACAGCCCTTTCCCCAGACTTTCTCTCACACATTTTGTGTACTAGAGATGGGTGCTGGCTAATGGTACAGACCCAGGTTTTCACCATCTCTGTTTCAAGTCCCGTTTGATGGCATCCCACCTCCCTTTGGAATGTGATGCTAACCCAGAGCCTCAACTGGAAAGTTTCATTTCATCATCCTATTTCCCGCATTTGCTTCGGTGAAGTACGCCGAGGAGTGCCTTGCATAGAGCTTGCACACAACAAAGGATGGCCATGCATGGCCCAGCCTTACAGGCTCTCCACTCACATTCACTTCATCACCATTATATTTGGTTTATTCCTAGTACCTTGTTTGATGCTTTACAAGTTTTACGTTTCCTTTAAACTGCCCTTGTTGTTGTTGTTGTCTTTGTTGTGGAGATTTTTATGTGCTATTATCTTCTGCAGTGGTTTGGAAAATAGACATATTGTTTTTAATTCTGCTAGTGGTTACCCTACATTTTTTCAAATACTTCTGTAAGCCTGTTCATCTCACTTTAACCATGTAAAATGGGGCAATGGTCTTTGTATATTCTCTGTTATCTAAATGGGCATTTCAGAGGGCACTTGTCTGGCTGCTCACACTTACGCTACCATCTTGCCATGAGTCTACCCAACAGCTTCGAACGGGCACTGGGCTCTGGCTTAGGGCCCACTCATCTCTGTGCTGGACTTTCCCATTAGCCAGCTAGCAGCTTTCAATGCCTCTGACCTTGTCTCCCTCTGTCCTCCATTTTGCTCCCAATTATGTCATTCCAAAAGGTACATCTGGGCAGGTTCTCTTGGTTTAAAACCCTGTAGTGGTTCCCTGTTGATTACAGTATACATCTGAACTCCCTAGTGAGGGGTGTTCAAGGCGCCACATGATGTGCCCTACCTTAACTTTCTGAGCCCTTCTGCTACACTCACACTCACCTACACGCCACTACACTGGTCTGCACCTTGATTCTCAAGTGCACAGGTCACACATGCTCATATCCCCATGCCCTCACTCAGGGCATCCTCTGTCTGGAATGCCCTTGGGTGGAAAAGCCCAGCACAGTGCCTGGCCATTCCTAGAATCTCATAGCTGTTAAGCTTCTCCTTCCTTTCTTATCAGTCCACCAAAATCCTCCTCATCCTTCAGGGCCCAACTCACTGTCTCCTTTTTCATTGTCAGGAAAGGCTTGTCCTAACCTGACTCTCCCGCCCTCCAGTACCGTGGGGTCGCCCCTCCTCTGGGTCCCCCACCCCAGCACTTTGTACACCTGTACTGTCACGCCAGCACCTTGGTGCTTCCCATCTCTCCCACCTGACCAAAAGCTCCCAGATAGCAGGACAGAGCCAGATGCCCACCAAAACCCGCATGGATCTTCGGGCCCAGTCAGAGCTAATCAGTGTTTGATTGATTTGAACTGCCTTCCTTAGACCGCAGGGATGCAGCACCAGGCTACTTAGGCAGGTCCCTTGGGACTCGCTACCCAATCTGAATAGATACTCATTTATTATTCACAACTTTTGCTTCCAAAATTGACTAGCAGTGGCCCACACTCAATAAAACTATTAAATTAGAAATAGAAAATTGAAGACTCCACATGGAAGTGGCATAGTGTGAAACTGCTAACCTTCCTTGGGTGAACAAGTCTTGCTGAAGGGAACTTGCACTGGGGTCCTCCTGCTGAGGTGGCAGGTGTGAGGGTCTCTTACAGGCTGCTTCAGTCCCCATGCTTTCCTTCATCCCCCTCAAAAACCATGGCCATGTTTGAAAATGCCTAAAATGCAACAAGCAGAATGAATTCACAGCAAATATCTTATCCTTGCAAGATTAGGACAAGTGGTGAAGAGGTGGGATGGGTTCGCTCTGTACACGTTTCAGTAGAGATAACTTGTTCCTGGAGCTAAGTCTGAAAAGTTCAGGTACCTCCTCAAGGGCCACTGTTCTGCACAGTTGTATTTTAACCACTGCCTCCTACAATTTTCCTCACTTGGCTTCCTGGAGTGGCTTTTCGATGGAAGCAAAGGGCATTTGCTTAAAATGTCACTCAGAGAAACCATTGAGTAGGAACACCCATCACTGGTTCTGATTTGAATGAACAACTTACCCTTAGAACTCACAGAAGCACATACTTAAATACTCCCCAAACACACCCACTAACATACCGTCCAACAAATATTGGTGTGCGGACCAGTGCATACTGCAGGACACCTTGCACACACACAATCATGTACACTGGCACACAGTTTCACAGGCTCCCACACATCAATCACATGCACATGCACAGCCTCCTCAAGGAGAGACATGGGGAATCACCTTATTTCTGCACCTCACTCTGCCTCCAGATTTTACTCTCTTAGGACAGAACTTTAAGTGTCTGTTTAATAGATTCAATTACTCCAGGCTCCTGAGACCTTCCAACTCAATTCTGATTGCTTTTAGGTGTCAGATAATTTGGGAATAAAGGGGAAAACAGCCACAAATTTTTGAAGGGAAATTTTCCTAGCTCCAGTCATCCCAGAAGTGGTAGCTGTTGATTGTAGCTTTGGTAGGCGGGTGTCTGCAGAGCGGGGTGGCCTCTTGCTCCTAATTAGGGCTCTTTCCACCCGCCCTGATGGACAGAGGCCCTTGTATAGTGCTTTGCTGTGCTGCTTTGGCCTCCAAGCAGGGACTGGTCCTTTTCTGCTGCCCTTCTTGGGAACCTGATCAGTGAAACTGAGATCCGTGCCAAGTGTCCCAGCAAGCAAGGCAACAGCCCTACTTTCTGTCCCCTGCACCTCACTCTGGGGTGATTTATTTTGCCTTCTGTCTCCAGTGACAGTGATGGCTCTTGGAAGCTGGTAATCAGAGGTCACAGCCTTCAGAAAGCGTTGATGTGGATCCACCTGACAGAGGTGGATCTGATCTGTCCTGCACTCCAGAAGCCTGGAAAGAGGGGCTGAGTGTGTGTGTGTACATGAGCACCACCTGAACTCTGATAGGCAGAAAGCAGGCTCAGGGCAAGAGCACTGGACCCAGGCTGCTTGTGTGTGAATCCTGGCTTCACTGTTGAACAGCTGAGTGACCTTGGGCAAGATCTTAGCCTTCTCTGTGCCGCAGTTTCTTCTACTGTAAAGTAGGTATGATAGCACCTACCTCCTATGGTAGCTCTGAGAATGAAATGAGTAACAGTATAAAGATAGTACTTGACATTCAGCAAATGCTCCAGATATCTTGGTTACTGTTTTTATAGCCCATGGCAAGGTAAGGCCAGGCTGAAAAGCTGGGAGAGCCCTGGAGTGGGGAGCTCTGGCTGTGGACTCAGGGGAGCAGGATGGGGCCCTCCCTCAGCACAGCTGGCTGTTCTCACACTCTCCCACCCAGTGGTGCAGTCATGAGGGCCTATTTGGCATAGAGGATCCCCACATGGACACTCTTCTGGCTTGGTGGGGGGTGGGGGGCACTGCTGAATCCAGGGTGCACATGAGGATGCCCACATATAGTGTGGAGGCTGCGCCCCTCAGCCAATCGGTCCCTGATCAGTGGGCCTCTCCTCGCGTTGGCCAGCCCTGCCGCTGTGGATTGGCCATTTTTCACCTCAGCATGCCAATCCTTGCTTTGAAGTTGGTGCTCAGAGACTCTAAGATCACCGCTGTTGAGAGGTTATTGCTTGCCTTCAAGTGTGGCCCCCAGAAAGGGCTTTGGAGGATGGAGACCCTGGTTCCATTTCAGCTCCACTGCTTCCTAGCTTTAGGTCCTTAGGCATCTTAACATTCCCGAGGCTTTATGCTCTGGGAAATAGGGATAAAATACTTGCCTCTCAAGGCCATTGTGAAAATTAGTATAAATTTATAAGGGCTGGGAAGTCAATAGACAGTAAACGTTACCCTTTCCTTGACTGCTGTAACTGAGCGGGGAAGAACTCCACTGCTGTTGTTACGGAAAATACTGGAAAACCTGGACTGGATCACTGATGGAAGAACCAAGCAGCACTCATAGGTCTTGGAGTGCTGAGGTTTATTAACACTGGCGGGCTCCAAGGGGAGTAATCTCCCAAGGTCTGAGCCCCAAACAAAGGCAAAGGGAGCAATATATATCTTTCTGCTTCCGTATCTGCAACATTCCTACGTGCACAGCAAGCGAGCAAGGAAGAGGGGGTGAGTTTAGGGAGTGGGTGCCTGGCAGAGCGGGGAGTTAAGGGAGTGTTTTGTGTGAGCAAACAGCTCATCTTTACTAATGCCAAAGACAGGAGGTCCGACGGGAGGTATTGCAGGACGGGCGGGGGAGTCGGGGAGGAACTTGTGAGGACTCCGGTGCGCTGGGAGTGGGCAGGCTAGACTCCACGCTTGGGTCCCCAAGGTTCCCCGGGACCTCTTTTGGTCTTTTCTAGCATCATCCCCTTCCTGCGCAAAAGGATTCCACCCCCGTCCTCCACCTCTCCCCCCAATCCGAGCAGCGGTTTCCCATCCCTCAGTGGAGATAGGTAGGCCAGGCAGGTAGGAAGGTGTCCGAATTATCCCCGTTTCACAGAGAAGAAACTGAGGCTGGAGGTCTGGGGACCCGCCCAGACGCCGCGCTGCTATTAGCCCAAGGTGGGCGCGGGCGCAGTCACGTGTGCGGAGCCTGGATCCGGCGGTTCCCGGGAAGGGGGTGCCCAGAGGGCCTGGGGTGGGTCTCCGCTGGGGGGCGGGGCGAGAGGAGGGGCGGGCCGCCGCCGCCACGCAGCGCTCCGGCCCTGGTCGCGGGACCGAATCCCTCCCGCGGCGCCGGGCGGTGCGGACCGGCCCCTCCGCCTCCACGCGCGCGCGCTCCGCCGCTTCGCCCATCGCGCCGTGCCGCGCCGCGCCGCGTCGGCAGCCTCTCTCCGAGCCCGCAGCCGGGACTCTGGCGTGCAGCGCGGGCCTCGGCGGGGCCTGGCGCCCCGGTCCGGGAGGATGCGGCCCGCGGCGGCCCGGGAGCTGAGCAGGGCCCCCGAGCCGGCCCCCGCGGGCCCCGGCTTCTGGAGCCGCAGACGCTGCCCCGCCCCTGAGAGACATGACTTCCAAGCCGCATTCCGACTGGATTCCCTACAGGTATGCGGGCGCCGGCCCCCGGCTTCTCTTCACCTCAGGGGTGCGGGTCCGGCCACCACCCTCCAACGCTCAGGTGTGGAACAGGGTCGAGGACTCCGGGCCAGGGGCGCCCACCACCCTGAACTCAGGGCGCCGGGCTGGCTGGGGACCCCGGGCCGGGCTACAGGGCACCCGACTCGCCCAACGAGGGGCATGGGTAGGAGGCTCAAGGCCTTCCTACTTCCACTTTGGGGGCCCGGGAGGACTGAACCCGAGAGACCTGCCCCACGTGTTATCGGTGGGGCTTGCTGGAAGGGGCCAGTGCGGGCCTTGGAGGGTCCCGCAGTGCCATGTGGCCGCCTGGGGAGACAGCGCACATTGCCATGAACCCCTCTTCGGCCCAGCACACAGGGTCACAAGCCAGCGTAGTGGGGTACACACACTCATATCTGTGGGCCTACACCCACAGAATGTGGGCGCATTGGGCCAAAGACTTGCTGCTGGTCAGTTCACACAAAGTATGAATTCCTGGAGCCAGTTACTCTGAACCAAGAGCCAGGCTGCTCATGTACGCATGAGTTACAGGCCCCTGCGCGCGCCACACACACACACTCTTACTTCTTGGGCTCACACAGGTGCACTCCTACATAACTGCATATATACATCCTATATTTGGAGAATACCTGACACCTGCTACCCACTTACAAGTACTGCTCATATCTTTCAGAGACTCAGAAATCCACCTGCTCACATGTCTATACCTAGACGCACAGTAGCTCATGTACACAGGACTGCCTCTACATGCACAAGAGTGAAGAACCCTCAGGCACGCTCAGGGAAGCACTGCCACTCTGTGTTCCCAAACACTGGTCCCAGGAACAGCTGGGTTTTCCCACCTGTGTGGAGGTCGGGGTTGGGGGTTGGGTGGTGGAGGGCGGGGTGTCCCAGGGTACAAGGCCTTTCCCCATCTACTCTACTCCATTCTCTCCATAACTGCTGAAAAGGAGCTCATTGCCATGGCAGCGTTAGATCCTTGGCTACCCATTGGCTCCTTCGTTGCCATGGACTACGGGGCTGTGTCTAGGCCTCCTGGAGAGGCATGTGTGTAAAGGGTGCTGGACTGTTAAGTCCCACTGTGTTTTGCTGGTCCAGGTGCAAGTGCCTGTGGGTGGCAGGAACAGACCCTACGACCTACCTTGTAACACAGCCAGCTCTTGGGAAGGGACCTGATCCTAGTCCCTGGTAGAAAATCTGACAGCTCTTCTCCGAGTCTGTCCAGATAGCATTCAAAATGGAAACCTACTGAAACTGCCTGAGGCTTGTGAAAAGCAGATCCTTCTGCAGACAAGCACCTGCCACTGGCCTGGGGATTCAGGGTTCTCTCGAGAATTGTCGTCTCTAATTTCAGCTCCTTCGGGGGGTTTCAGGGCTTCCCAGACTGAATTTGTGGGTGCCCCTCTTGCCAACACACACGTGAGTCACCCATAGGTTTCCTGCAGATATATGCACTCATACTTCAGAGTGTCACATATGCCAGGGAGATTTTTCCATTGGGATGGGGCTGTGCTGACTCAGAAGAGTACAGGGCATCCAGGCTGGGGAACAGGTATCTTTTGGAGTGTCCTGGCTTTCTTGACATGGGGACTGAGGACTTTGTAGAAAAAAGTGCAGCCCCACAAAGTACCATTAATCTCTTCTAGCCACCCAGCAGAGGTACCTGGGTGGTGCCTGTGGGGAGAGTGGCCTCTAGTGCTGTGAAAGGACCTGTATGAGGGTGCAGGTGGCAGGGTGGTGGCCACAGTCTAACTTGGGGGAGAGAAGGGCAGCACATGTGGCTGTGGATATGATGGCATGTTTAGAATCTGGCAGTCTGGAGGCCAGGCCAGGTCATGGTTCAAGGAAGCCTCCCGCAAGAGCCAAGGACAAAGCAACTTGGGAAGTGTGTGCACAGGTCTTAGAGAAAGTCCACCTCAAACTAGGGAGGGGTCCTTCTGCCTTTGGGAGAGGGGGCTTAGGGAGGTGGGGCTGTCTCTGGGAAATCCTCCAAGGAGTGGTTCAGTACTTGCTCCAGCCTAGACCCAATCACTCCATCCTCCCATTCCTCTCTTGGGCACTCAGAGTACAGAATCTTGCCTCTGGAAGACTGGCCCTGAGGAGCAGTTTGGCATCTTTGTGGCCCTGCCCTGCTTACTGTCCCATCACTCTGTCACCCTGCCTTTTTGTTTGTCTAGCTGGGGACAGGCTGTAGTCAAAAGTTGCTGGAATCTCTCCTGCCTTGCTGGGGTCTTCCTGTGCATGCACTGAACCTGGGAGAGCACTGGGCTTGGGGTGTAGACTTCCAGAATGGGGCGACCTGGGCGGAGATGAGGAGGTGCAGATTGCCTTTTTCATTAACTGGGCTGCTGATTGCAGTAAAAGCCACAAGTCTGTCTAATCGCAGAGAAAACTGGGGCAGAAGACAGACAAGACAGTTTACTTGCAGCTGAAGGGGATGGGCCTGTGTTCCTGCTTTGCTTTGAGGTTTCCCTAATGTTACAGCATGTCAGAACTGGAATGTGTCATTAGGTTTGGGGGAGAGAAGTCAATCAATTTGTTAGCACTCCAGGTGAGGGTTTTACTCCCTCTGTGATGTGGTTGCACCTGCTTTCCCTGGGCCTGGCTCCTTTTCTTTGAAGCAATGACAGTTGGTGATAATCTTCTTAAGAGTAATTGTGGCTCAGTGTGTAATGATCATGGATTAATCTCACATTCTGACTTAGAAGGGAGCCATTTAGTTTACAGAGTTTAACAATCTCAATGATTTTTTGCTTTTTTTTCTATTGCTCCTAATAATTTCCATTTCTGCCATTTTCTCTTCACCTGTGTTTTTGAGGAGCATGTATTAAATGCCCCTAGTTCATGAGTTTATAACCTTTTTGAGTTGTAGTGGAGCAGTGAGAGTCAGGCATATTGGAGGTCCATGCTGCGTGGGAGTGATGGCCGGCCCTGTCCTCAGTGCTGTCTGCATGGGCCTGTGGCCATTGCCTTCCTCCCCAAACCGTGAACTTGCGGAGAGCAGGGGCCTCATCTGATCTTTGGCTGTGTGCCTAGTATAACCCAGCACAGACAAGATGCCTGCTGCTTTGAACCAAAGCAGCATCCCCAGGTAGCTTTTACTTCCTGTCTTTTGGGGCCCCTCACCTGGGTTCTCAGCACACCTAAGGGATGCGGACTCCCCTCAAATCTGAGGCTTTATGGAGTACTGCTGGAAAAACACAGCTCTAGGTCAGAGAAGACGACTCTCAGGCTGGAAGGGTCCTTCCAGGCTGTCCAGTCCTCTGTGTGGATACTGTAGCATTCCTGTGACCAGCCTTCAATTGCATGGCTGTGACTTAAAGTTCTTCCTTAGGCTGAGCTTTTACATGTCTCTGGGTTTTCCTCCTCTTGGTCCTTGTTAGGCAGGATCCTCCTGCCACTTCCTCAGCTTTCTGGAGGAGCAGATGACTACTGATTATGCAAGACTCTGGACTCTTTCAGTTATGCCTCTGGGGAGCCTCAGAGGCACCCTGGGCACTGTGGCCCACCCCTGCCCTTCTGGCACTAGCGGGGGAAAAGCAGAACCTTGGCTGCCAGATCCATGGTGGATCTCTCTCCACTCCTACCCCAGAACCCCTTAGGGACTCTTCCTGCTGCTGCCTGGGGTACAGGAGCAGGAAGCACAAGGTTGACAGGATTCAGGGAGCAGGCACCCCATGCATGCCCTCATGTTGGTCTCTGCCCTCACCAGCTCGGGTCCTGCAGCTGCATGTGGTGTCCTCGTGGCCTGTCCAACACCGAGCAGAGTGAGGCTCTTCTTCCCTGGCTCTGGACCTCTGCTCCTGTTGCCTGCCCTTGAGCCTGAACATCCTACAGGATGGCTTTGACTCACTGACAGTCATCCTGAGACCTGTTAACAAAACCCAAAATCTCTCAACTGGCCAATGTCAAGCCCTGTCTCCTCCATTCTGCCTGTGTCAGGAGGATCGGGTTTTGGACCCATAAATAAGACCTGACCTTCTGCTGTGAGGTTTTCATTTGTTATACTGATGGCTAGCTTTCCAAGGTCTTCTGAATTCATACTGTCTTCACAGTTTCTCTCTCTCCTTTGTGTCACCTGTAAGTTGGCTGAGAAGCCTGTGTTGTCTTCAGGTCACTGATAAACATGCTAACCAAAAGAACCACAATGCTAGAAACCTTCTTTGACTGCAGCATGACCCTGTTGCAAAAACTTTGGACTGTTTGTCTAATTGCTGTAGTTGCTTGCCACTTAGAGGCTTCATCTTGCCCACAGTTACCCGTGGTGGTCCCTGCAATTCCATGCGGAAATTTGGCTGTGCTGTTGTCTTGCCAATGGGTTTCAGCCCCGGACAAGTTCTATGGATTCAGTGAGACCAAAGAAATGACAGTGGAACGTTCTTGGGATGAAAGGGTTTATACCCAACTTTATTCCCATGGTGGCAGGTCGATCACTAGAATCCTGTCCACTCAGAGCAAGTCTGCATGCAGCAAGCCGGTCTCTGCCTCTGGGCCTCTCCGCCCCTGCAGCTGTCTCAGTTTCTGTTCTCAGTGCTGCCGCCACTCCAGTCTCTGCTCTCCTACAGCTATGAGGCCATGCCACCGTGTTACCCAGAGCACTGGGTGCAGCTCTTTATATAGAGTCAATAACGATGTATTGCCCACAAATGTGTAGTGAGCCAGCCAACCAGGGCCAGGTGAGAATCGTAGCCATAGGAACCTGTGACCAGCCTTCAATTGCATGGCTGTGACTTAAAGTTCTTCCTTAGGCTGAGCTTTTACATGTCTCTGGGTTTTCCTCCTCTTGGTCCTTGTTAGGCAGGATCCTCCTGCCACTTCCTCAGCTTTCTGGAGGAGCAGATGACTACTGATTACGCAAGACTCTGGACTCTTTCAGTTATGCCTCTGGGGAGCCTCAGAGGCACCCTGGGCACTGTGGCCCACCCCTGCCCTTCTGGCACTAGCGGGGGAAAAGCAGAACCTTGGCT